TGACAGTCTTATATGTCTTTCATTTGAAACCTAGAACTTGGTCCCTTTTACACTGCACCTTCATTTCACTGACTTCAGAGGGCAAGTTCACATGAATGAACCAAATAGAGCTAGCCCACCTCGGACCATTCCACTATAAATGAGCAAGCTGAGAAAAAGACAAATAGCAAATATAAGATCAGTACTGTACTGCAAAAAGAAGTAGGTCTTAAACATTGCTTCTGTTTTAATAGTCTAGTACATTGTTACTGCACAGGGAAGATTTTGTATTTAACTACAGCATTTTTATCCTAAGAGCTGTGTACCTTTACAGTCAGAAAAACAGTTAAATCAGTATCAAGGCTAAAATGTTATCCTTTGTTCAATTCCTTATGAATGAATGAAACAGAGATCTCCAAACAGCAGCTAACTTAACAGTGTGAAGAACTCAGGAATAACAAAGTGAGATAAAGACTTGAATCTGGACTCACTGCTGTAGTTCTAGATCAACACTGTCAAGATAGACTTACAAAATTACCAGAAGACCAACTACAACAGTTAGACCAGTATTAATCTGGAGTCAGGTGCAGAAGGAAGACTCACACAGCAATTATCCTGCTTCTTTACAGCCATAGAAATTCTGTACCAATCTATGTATCTAAAACTTGGCGGGGCTGCTACTGCATATATTTCTGATTCCTATGCATGTTTCAAGAAGTTATTTTGTCCACATTCAAAGATATTTTAACATTGTCCCTGAGACTTCATTCAGAAAGTGCAATACAACCAAGCCAACAAGTTGAAGAGGGCATGGTGGGGATACTTAGACACTGCAACCACTTATGCATACATTCAATTTTATGCACAATGTGTTGTTTTCATTCATTTCAGGGACTTCTGGTGCATAAAATTAAGCAATTGTGTAAATCTCCATTGGATCAGGACTTTAATTAGGATGCAACATAGAAACATTAGAGATGAAAGAGAGAGAGAGACTAATAGAGTCAATATTAGTTGTATATTTTCCCCTTCTCCTTTCTCCTCCCTTCTGTTTCTTCTGCATACTATGTAAAACATCTGTCTGCTGGACACTGCATGAATAATAATAAACCCCTTGCCCCTCCATTTCAACAGGACAACTGGATTTGCCAGCCTTATATGAATGAAATAAGCAGGATTTTTCTTAAACCTTAATGGAAATGTTTTCTTAAAGTTAGCATGTCTCTCCACAGCTGAACAGGTTGTTTGTTGCCTTTTGCTTTATAGTTTTAAATGATTTCAGGAATTAATCTGAAATCCCATGGCAAACAGTTATGGGCATTTCACTAAGCACAAACCTTACCAGATCTCTTATGCCAGTACTATTGAACTGTAAGGGAGACACAATATCCAGCAGGCTGCAAAGTCTTTGGGAATTTAAGGCTATTATTTTGACCACTAAAGTGCTCTCCTGTTTTTCCATTAATGCAAGAGAACCCCATAGGGACTATAGAGGATAAAAAATAATAAAAAATTGAATATAAGGAATACAAAAGTTCAACCATAGTATGTTTCTTAGTTCATTCCCAGATAGCCATGCAGGTATCACTTCGCAAGAATCAGACTTGATGCCTTGTGCTTTGCAGCAGCCAAAACATGAAAAACGAAAGGAAGGTTTTCTTGGAAAACTACCATGGAGAACAGTGCTAGGCCCTAACATGGTACCTGCAGGACCCAGCTAGTGTTCCCTCTATATGAAACCCAGCCTCATTCTAATTATTAATTGTAAGAGTCTCAGGCAAGAGGCAGGGCCTTAGGTGCTAGATGCTTGTACATATACAGAATTAAATGACAGTTCTTAACCCAATGAGTTTATAGTCTATGTAAGATTTCTAAGGACCATTGGGCATTAGTGGCACAAGGGCAAGGACAGAATGGGGGCTGTGTGAGTCTAGAACATCCTGTATATATGCTCCAACTTTCTCCCTCCCCTACACAGTGCCCAGTCAGCCTCTTCAAGCCCACACAGAGGTACTCAGAACACAGTAAGCTACTCAGGCTGGGGGTATGCAGCCCTGGGATTTGATCCCAAAAGAATACTTATGTGCCACTGGCTTAACTGTGCTTATTGAATTCAGTAGTAAAACTCAATGGAAGCACAATCAAACCAATGCTGATCTCTTCTGAAAATCCCACACAGAAATGCGCTTTTGAGGGCGACATCCTTGCTTCCCCACCATTACTCCATCATCTTCTATGACAGGAAAGCCTACAGGAATACAAAACAAGATAGACAAACTCCAGGCATAAGGCTGTAAGCTTCTCCTGGCCATACATTTCAGAGATTTCCTGTAACAATTCAAGAACTTAATAACTATGTTTCATTACTAAGATCCTATAGCCCCTGTAGATCCATAGCTTGCAGACCAGTATCTGCCCAGTGTGACACAATATGGAAAAGTGAGGCTAATGGCTTCAGTTAAACTAGTGTTTAAAGTGGTGATTCTCAGCCAGGATGCCATGAGATCCTTTTAAGGGTGTTGTACAATATTAGCACGCTTAGGTGTGCAAACGTGATTCACAAGACAAACCCAGAGATTCCAAACAGGAATCTGCAGCATCCAACATGTTCTAACTTGCTGAGATCTTTCAGAGTTCTTTGCAACAGAAAAATGCTCTATTATTTTTGTGTAGTCAAAAAACAAGTGAAAGGTAAGAGCTGGGATATTCTCAGCGGTGTTATGAGTCTAACAAGGGGCACCTTGCATCTAATCACATTGAGAACCTATAAATTAAACTATTAGCTCTCTTTTACAGCATCTGGAATTGTACCCATGTAAGGGAGCACAGAATCATTGCTGGTTCTCTAATTTTTCTCCATTCATTATTCTGGTTCTTTAGGCCCAGGCTCACAGCCCCAGGGCTGGCAGAGCTGCCAGGCAAATCAATAGGAGTTTTACCTGTGTCTGGACTGGAAGATGGGGTCTTTCACTGTATCCTATACCAGAGGCTTGCCATTAAAATAGTGCCATGGAATTTCAAAGGAGGCCCCACGCTGCACCCAGAGAGCTCGTGAAAGCCTGTGGTCAAGAATAATTAAAAGGTTCAAACAAGACATTTTACCCTGTAGCCTGCACGCCACACTTTATTTTATTTCACGAGCCATATGCTTTGGTTTTGATCCCATCTTCCCTAACCTCACATAAGATAAGGGAATGCTTTACAGTTTGGAAGGAATTTCCCAGGGTCTTTCTTTTATTAGCCCCAGCCAAGATGCCTATGGCAGGCCACGTGCACAAGAGCTGCGGATGCTTTCTCCATGGCAATCTTCCATAGTTTCACTTGAAGATAGCACTGTCAATGTTCTTAAAAAATGACAGCTGTGAGACCCTTGGTCTTTGAAATCTCCTAAGCACTTTTCGATAATGGAAAGCACAGGTTGTTAACAATAATAAAAGTCCTGCCATGGGCCATCAGACAACAGATAATTCCACTCACTCCCTTCTGAAGTTCTAGGAGCCACCCACTAAATCTTTACTGCAGCTGAAACTTAATTCACTCTTCAGGGGGGAGAAAAACAAAGTCCTGTTTTGGTCTCAAATGATCTGGAGGAAGAGACTTTTTCCTTGTTCTCTGTGTAAGCAGGAATTTGCTGCAGGACATCGGCTACAGCAGAGCCCAGGCTCTGCTGAAAAAGATCAGCCTTTTTCGAGACATTCCCTGGATGCTAGTTGTAAAACTTGCTTTCATGTGTAGACGCAGGGAACCTTTCCAGAGCAGCCCGCATGGAAAAAATATTTCAGAGGCGAATGCTGCCAACCTTTCATAGGGCGGGTTTTTTTTTTCAGTATCAATCAGGCTAAAGGTTTTATATGCATGCAGTAGAGAGCGAGCGCGATGTATGTATTCAGTCATCTGTGGTTTGGAGAGAAAAGCGCTCAGCTCGGTCAGGGCTGGGAGCGCTCCCATGAAAACGTGAGAGGCTCTTTCGGGGGGGACGCGATAGGCAGCGCTGCCCCGGCCGCTCTGCCCTCTCGGCCTCGGCATCTCCCCCGACGGCCGCAGCCGGGGCGTGGCCGGGGAGAGCCCGCGCGCGGGGCGGAGCCCAGCGG